GCAACAATCCCTTTAACACCATCAAACAACATCTGCCTATCCCAGGTCCTTGGGAAGGACTCAATAGGTGGATAAAAATGGCAAATCTAGTCTAAACATCTGGCTAACTGTGTGACCAACAATAATAGAAATGCAAAGGCAGTTTCAAAATTTCATAGAGCAACTATTCTTTTTAGCTACCCTTTGTTTTCCATAAGTAGTAATAAAATATGTTTTTTGTTTCTCACTGCATCTTTCCAAGACAATTAGGCACATTATACCTGGACTGCAAAAATCCAAATGACCATTGAATGGTAGCAAAAAGACATTGAAAACTCTCTTTGTCACCATGCAGTGGTTCTCTTGATTTGTGCACCCCAGAAATGGTACACCAAGGCGACATTTAAAAACCCAGCAACTCCAAGTAACAGGCACCCATTAATCCTATTTTATTCAGAAAACAGTCCCAGGAGATAAGCTAGACCATGGCAAGGCAGTGTCTAAAAGAATAAGATGCATCTTCCACACTAAAGTAAGGTCTGGGTCTGATCAACATCTGAGTCAATGAACTTGGTCAACGCTGCCTTGAATTCCATGATGGGATGGGGAAAAAGTTGCTTGAAAAGTACCTTAAATAATAAAAAGCAATCACAGGTATGTTGGCTAAGGGGGGTGGGGGGTGGTGGGTGGGAGGAAGAAGAATCCCAAATCCATAACTTGGGAAAACATTTTAATCCCAAAATAGCATGAAAGGATGGGTGAATTTCCAAGTTTTGCACAACTCATGATCAAAGAGAAGACACAATAGAGGCAGAAGAATTTAAATCTTGGAGCTGAAAGTTCGGACCTAAGTTTTAGATCTTGTTGCTTCTCTATTCCTTGTGGGGATATTTTTTAGCAGGGTGGCGGCGGCGGCAATATTCTGCCCAATGAAAGCTCCAGGGAATGTGAAACTTTGCATCTTCTTTTGCCGGGATCCTGATCGAGGCCTTCCCTACATAGCGACGGGTTTTTAATAAACAGTGAATTGCTGAAGTCTCTCCCTGAACTTTGTGGTCTGGGTAGCTGCTCAGCTGCTCCAGGGCCTGGGTGGAAAGTTGTCACAAAACTAGTCGCACCCTCTTGTGTGCCCAAATGACAGTTGAACCTGGGGGCGAGGTTTTACTAACAAGGGGGTGAACTTGTTTACCTGAGAAGTGTAGCTAAACTCAGTTTCACAACCTTGACAAGCTGAACTGGCCAGCTGGGCTCCACCACTTACACAGGGTAATTTAGGAAAATTATACCTCCTCCTCTCCCCTCCAACTATTAAAAACAAAACCTACAGAAAACGTAGGTGAAATCAATCACCGGGGGGGGGGGGTAGATATCCTGCAATTTATTGAGAATTTTCCCTCCCTTTTGAGAGACCCTAGAACGGGCAGAAGTCACGTTAAGAGGCTCATCCTTAGACCCTAGCCTCCTTCATCCGCTCAGATGACAAACTGCCCCTCTTGGAAGTTACAGACGTAACATTAACATCTGGAACCGGGGTGGCCCTTACCCCGGATCAATTAGGACGGGGTTTCCCAAAGGTGCGGTCTTTTGTCTACGGCGCCAGTGAATTCCCCCCGGTCTGTCTCCTCCCCTCCCCGGAGCGAGAAGAAACCCGGGGAAGAAACGGC